CGTTCCCACTACAGTGCCCGCATGCGCTCTTTCCCTGTTGCCGCCACAGCGCCCGTCCCCGTACCGTACACTGTTCGCTTGATTTTTCTTCTTTTTTTTCTCCACACCTGGGTGCGCTCGTTCACGTTACAGCGCGACGCGCGCTCGTTTCTCTTCTAGCATCTCGCTGTATGCGCCTCTTCGCCATACCGTACGTGACTGCCGTTACCGCTACAGCGCCTAACGTGCTTCACGTTTTTGCGGCGCCGCCGTGCTATCGCTCCCGCTTCAGCTCCTGTGTGCGCTCGGCATGGCGCCCATGTGCGGCTCGTCCCCACTACAGCTACTTAAGACCCTTGCCAATCGTTCGCTGCCTCGCTGCTTACGCCAACCGCTCTCGCTTCAACCATTGCTCCCATCGTGCTCGCCCGCTCGCTTCTATATCTGGCATGCGCTGGCAGCGCACCAATGACCCCTCGTCGACAATCACACGTACGATTCCGAGTCAATCCCAGTCCTCCTCGTTCGCTGCTCCATTACCGGCTCCACCCCCTGTTCCGCTTCTTGGCAATGCTCGCTCCGAGTCAAGACTTTCTGCTTTAGGTATCCCTGTCAAAGGCGACAATACACACATCAAATATTCTTCCCATTGAGTCTATAAAATTTGGATTCAGGAGGTACCGCAGGTCCCAAGTCAACTGACAGGTCTAACGTAAATGTGTATGACAATCTAGCTTGCTCCCTTGAGGTAGTGCAAGGATTTGGCAGTACGCAGAAAATCCGCGAGGTTGCCTATGTGCCCATCTCTCGTACGCCGGTGCTTTCCCGAATGCGATTTCTGTGACTAGGATCTGTTCTCGACAATTCAATTAGAGAAATTCGTAGTAAGCCTTAACTCCACACACTGACCAGTATGTCGGCAGTTAGGCCTTTAATCTGGGACGCCGTGCTCCGAAACGTCGTGTCCACAGGTATCCTCGCCGGAGAGCTCAAGCACGGCCTGCTCGCCCTGATCGACGAGAACATGCCCGTCATCATCATCATGACGCAGGACTCGCTGTACCCCAAGGTGCAGTCCGCGTTCGCGCAGATCACCGCGCGCAAGGCGCAGCCCATCATCCTATGCAACGAGGGCGACGAGGCCATCCCCGCCGGCGCCAAGACGATCCGCGTACCCAAAACCATTGACTGCTTGCAGGGACTGCTCAACATCATCCCGCTGCAGCTCCTCAGCTATCACCTTGCCGTCAAGAACGGCTGCGACGTCGACTTCCCCAGGAATCTGTGCGTCTTTTCTCTTCCCTTCTCATCCATACATCGAGTGCTCATTGTGTCTGTAGGGCCAAGTCGGTTACGGTGGAGTAAATAGATGCTATAGATGAGTGCGTTCGTAAACAAGTTTCCGTTCTGATATCGCTCTTTTCTCCCCACCACACATGATGTGGCTGGCGCTCTTACGGACTTGAAAATTAGTGTACTTCTACTTTATATGGACTTGCAATCCATATTAGCTGTGATTTGTGGATTATTCCTTGAGGCTCTACTCCAGTGTTTCATCCATGGCACGATCAAGAGAGGTCGATGACAAAAGAAGGGGCAACGTCCTTTTGCCAAAGCTGCACTTTTGCTCCTACATCTATTGGGGCCACATCCTCATCATTTAAATCGCCGTCGTCTTCTTCGTCGCTGTCTTCAGCCTGACAAAACCTTTCCACCGAAATCTCCCTATATGTGGACGCCTCTTCACCAAGCCCAATGTCGTCATCAGCATCCTGCATCTCGCCCTGACCCTCATCATCAGGAGGAGACCCTTCGTTGCCGCCGCCTAGCTGTTCCGGTATAGACGACAGCTTCCCACAGAACAGTTCGCGCGCAGTCAAGAGAGATGGTGATGCTGTACGGAGAGCTTCGCGAACCACACGATGATATATGCGGAGCCGACAGAGGAAAGAATAAAAGCGGAACCACCCGATGGGCGCGTTCGAGCTCAAATTTGTCGTTTCGTCGCTTGTAGCAGTACTGATAGCCTTCAGTTCCAATCTTCTCCCACCAGGAGGTGATGGTGTCGACCTTGTGATGGCGGGCGCTGAATGCATAGTTTTTGATGCCGACCAGGCCCAAGGCGCGGTTCACGGCCTGCATCGCGGCGCTATCTAATATGGCCTGCCATCCGTTGTTGACAAGGCCGCCTTGAACTCGATGAAGGATTGGATATATTCTTCACAGAGGTTGGGGCCAGCGTAGACAACGTTATAAGCTCGGAGAGCTTGCGGAAGGGGGATGACGACGGCGCCGTCGGCCGTAGCGATAGATGTCGGTCCATGGGGCACTTGACATTGATCGTATTTTACAACGTGAACCTTAGTTTCCACGCTGTACGGAGATGAGTTGACTTGTGGATAATTGAAAGAGAAACCCACCGATAGGAACTATTGGCTATTGTTTCCACATCTGTTTCGAAGGCAAGTGAAAACAAATTGTCGACTGCGCGGCGAATAGCGGCTTCGGAGCTGTTCTGTGTTAAAGCTCTTCTAAACTGATTGTACAGGCGGCATAGATGTTTCATATGCGCCTCGAAGTGCATGGAATCCTCTGGTACCAGCTGGATGAAGGCTTCGTCTTCGCTGAAGAACTGCAAATCCGCTTGCGAGATGAGAGGGGAGAATGGAAATCTCTCTTTAGAGCCTATTAGACCGGCCTCGATTATTTCTGGCAAATGAGTCGGGAGTGTTATGGGTTGGAGTAGAAGGTCGTTGGGATCCGTGGACTCTACGATCTGAGCGGAGGCGCAAAATGCATTCCAGCTTTCCACAGAACCGCCGCAGAACCTAGGAAAGAGGAAACGTGTGAGTGAAATACGTTGGGGGGAACGAGGTGTGGCATACTTGGAGGATTCGCTCATTGGCGGTTTCGAAACGATGGTAGAGCTCAGTCCGACAGGAGCCCGGTAATTGCCGCCGGTATTGATGGGAATCTTGTGTTGCCGGTGGCCGGTCCGCTTGCTCCGGTGCATTTTCGGCGCGGGCGCCGGGCAGCTCTTCCTGAACTTGGTGAACTTGCCTTCCGCACTTTTGTTTCACGCTACAACGCCTCCACGCCGGCAAGAACGCTTAGAGAGACGCTTGTGTTCCTGCTGCCTCTCTTTATCATCTCTTTCTGGCGGTGCCCATTTTGTCCGTGCGCCACATCTCGATTTATCATTCCACGTCCTTTACGCGCATTCTTTCATGACACATATGTTATGGCTCGCGCCGAGGGCCGCGCCTCTTTCGGCCGCGTTGCCTTTTCCTCGCTCCACGCCTAACGATGTCGCAAGGCGCTGCCTCTCCTTCCTTGACGCCGCTTCACAGTCGACGGCGAAATCTACTTGCGTCTGCTTACATTGTCTCGCTTCGTCGCTGCTACTGTTTTTATGCACCCCCTTTCGTGTTGACGCCTGAGCACCCACTGCCTGTAGGCGTCGCACCATTCGCGGTCCCTCGCCTTGGCGCACTGTCGTAACGCCTTGTTCATATAACCGCGGTGTCTATTGGTCCCGCCTTTTTTGTACATTGCGGCTCGTCCCCACTACAGCTAAGACCCTTGCCAATCGTCCGCTGCCTCGTTGCTTACGCCAACCGCTCTCGCTTCGACCATTGTTCCCATGGTGCTCGCCCGCTCGCTTCCATATCTGGCATGCGCTGGCAGCGCACCAATGACCCCTCGTCGACAATCGCGCGTACGATTCCGAGTCGATCCCAGTCCTCCTCGTTCGCTGCTCCATTACCGGCTCCACCCCCGTTCCGCTTCTTGGCAATGCTCGCTCCGAGTCAAGACTTTCTGCTTTAGGTATCCCTGTCAACATCAAATATTCTTCCCATTGAGTCTATAAAATTTGGATTCAGGAGGTACCGCAGGTCCCAAGTCAACTGACAGGTCTAATGTAAATGTGTGTGACAATCTAGCTGCTCCCTTGAGGCAGTGCAAGGATTTGGCAGTACGCAGAAAATCCGCGAGGTTGCCCGTGTGCCCATCTCTCGTACGCCGGTGCTTTCCCGAATGCGATTTCCGTGACTAGGATCTATTCTCAACAATTCAATTGAGAGCAAATCGTAAGGCTTAACTACACACACTGACCAGTATGTCGGCAGTTAGGCCTTTAATCGGGGACGCCGTGCTCCGAAACCGATGCATTCGATACATGAGATTACCGAGGAGGGGTACAACCGTATCGGAGGTGCTCTTTGTTGTAATTGAAATGGGGGTACAGAAAGTACAATTATTTACGCACATGCAATTCGGTGTCATATATCCAATCCTCGCCGGATGGAACGAGATCTTCATTGCGGGCCAGATTGGGGTCCAGAATGGCCCCAAGTGGGTGGCTGAAGATATGGGATACTTCATCCTCGGCTGCTTTAAGAGAAGTCAAGACAGAAGGGTCGGCCAAGAACGCGACAACGGGTGTCACGACGAGCTTGTGCAGCGAGATGAAAGGTTCAAGGGTGGCAAGGGTGTAGATATCCGGACAAGCCAGAGGAAGTGCCACTTCTTCGTAAGCCTCGCGGATACTAGAGCAGAGAATAAGCGACTGCGTTCACGACTTCTCGAAACGCACAGCGGTGTCGATGAGACTAGAGTCCGACTCGTCTGACCGGCCTCCGGGAAGAGCGGTCTGGCCGGCATGGGTTCTCAAAGACTTGGAGCGCGTTGTGAGCAGCACCCGGAGTTCGCCGACCTCCTCATACAGAAGCACCAGAACAGCCGCGAGCCGAGATTTGGGGAAAGCGGAACTGGTGGAAGAATTGAATGTGCGAAGACAAGGGATAAGGGGACAGAGACGGACAGGTCTGGTGAATCCGAATTGTGGGATGCAATGCGGATTATTGCCTCCCTCGATGAGCTAGATAGATTTTCTAAAATCGACGGAGGTGGAAGTGAGCTGGAGTCCATCGAGCTGGGACGCCGGAGCTTCGTTGACCTAATTGGTCCATTCGCAAGCTCGGAGTGTCAGTTCAAGTTCATGAAGCTAGTCTTCTCAAGGTCTAGTGGTGTAGTTGGTTTATCACATCCGCTTCACATTTAGTCTGACGCGGGCGGTCCTCGGTTCGATCCCGGGCTGGATCACTTTTTTTTGTTTTCTACCCGTCTCATCGATATGTTTTTTCAACCATTGTGCAGGCTTTTCCTCAAGTTTTCAACGACCGGCAGCCGAAAATACCCCTACCCAACTCTTTCCCTTGTACTCTTCTGGCTCAACTCTGACGAAAAATGTCTTTCGTAGCGTCAACTTGAAACGTTCCGCACAGTTGTACAGAAGGAAATCGATGAAATAAAATTCTGTCTACGAGCTAATCCAAGTTGTCCCGAGATGACTTATCCGTCCGCCGTCCCTAGTCTGTTATATACCGTTATAGCAATATACCGCAATTCTACGTATCTCTCGCAGCGCTATGGAGTCCAAAATTATGCAACTCGGCCTGGACGCTCTCTAGCCGGCGCCGCCTCGCAATTAGATCGTCGCGCCGAGCAACCAATCTCGGATCCTCCGCGAGGAAAGCCGCACACACTGCATTGGCATTCACACCACCAAGTCCAAATTCAGAGATGAGATCCTGCTGTAGGGTCCGCGTGAGTGCGCGCAAAAATTTGGAGTCGATGAGAGCGGGGATGTTGTCGATTACGCGCTGTTGAGAAGATGAGTGGTGTCTAGAATAACCATATTAACATCGGTGCGAACCTTATAAGCAACCTAGAGAGCACAAATTAATATCAATTAATGGGCGGAATCAAAGGCTGCGTGCATACCTGGAAATATCCTCGGACTTCAGCCATGACAGCAATTTCCGTCTCGTATTCGTCGACGGGACGTAGCTTTCCGAAATCGTCTGCTGTAAGCCCGGGATACCCTAATTCGGCCAGCTGTGCCAGTATACCGTTGATTTTTTCCGGGTCGCTCGCTGAGGTCGGCGCGGCGGGGGATGATACCTCCGGCTGAGGGAGCGGGACTTTGAAACCACCAAATCCCGCCTGGAATGGGGGATTCGCATCCGGTGGCACTGTTCGCAAAGGGTTTAGGTGAGCCGAAAGCACCGACTCCGGCTTGCGGGACTGCAGGAGCAAACTTGACTGCAAAAAAATTGTGTCAGTTTCAGCCGCAAATACAACCATCCTCTTACAGGGTTCAGCAGGCTTACTGGTAGTCGCGGTCGGCTGATTAGAATTAATCTTGCGACGTTTGCTGGCTGGCTCATTCATCAGCACCGGTCTTCCCGGCTCGCTGCTCTTTGTAGCGCGCCAGCCATTTGTCCGGTGGCCGATTGCAGGTAGTGATCATTCATCGTAAATGGCATTTGTTCAACCTCGAGTATCGCCATAAGGAAGTCCCCGCAGGAATCATAGTATCTCGAAGCGAACCGCGTAACACAATCCCTTGATTTAGGTCAGAGGAAACCCCTGGCGTCACCAACATGCACTTACTTCAAACGGCTGTGAAGAACTTCGTAACGTCCGAACATCTCATCAATTTTCCTCATGAGGAGGGCGAGCATCGACTGCTTTACGCTGTCGAAGCACTCGGCCGCGGATGCGAGCCAAGTTTGTTGAAAAGCGGTGATGAGCGATTTCTTCGCAGAAAATGGTATGTTTCCGGGGAGCTCGCGCGTGACAGACCTGTGCAGAAAACGGAATGTCAACTCCTCGATAAGAGAACGTCAACATGGAAACACACCTGGCAATATGGTCGCGGACATCGTTCAAATTGTGTGCTTTTTGGGTGCTGATCAAATCTTCAGCCGTAACGGCGTCGTCGTCGTCGATAACGTAGATTACAGGATTACCTGTCTGTCCAGGAGCACGCGCAATGAAATTGGGCTGAGTTTTCCTGATGGCCTGCTTGAATGCAGCGAATGCGGCATTGCGCTCGTGTATCAAGGCACTCATATCGGATTGGACCGTCGACGTACTGGCGAACTTCGGTGCAGAACGCAGTAATGAGGTTAAGCATGTGAGTTGCTGGTTCACCAACGACCTTGTCAGGCAGGGCGCTAAGCTCCCGCCGACAAGCCTCCATCCGCTCGTTCGCCATTTGCCTAATGAGCGGAAGCCTATGGTGGGTACGTGAATATAAAGCCACACATTACACTACTATTTACTCGCCTATCGTTGATGACTTGCACGAGTAACGTGCTGAGAGTTGAAATCAGATTAGCAGTTCCGAAACGGTCCTTATGCGAAGAGGTCCGCCCAGGGGGTAGTCTCGCCGAAGAACGACGCCTCAGTCTGCCTAGCCTGTGCCGGCGTTATCGAATTGCTCCGTTCCGCGTCGTCGGGCTGCCGAGTACAATAGTAACCATGATGCAGAACGTGCCGACGCCCTTCTATAACATCGAGCCACAAGTCGCGAGCTTTGGTTGAACCGGCAGATAGCATATCTGGTTTGGTCATGACACCTTGTTTATGTGAGCGTTAGTGGTGGGAGGAGAACAAGAGTTATGGTTACCGATTGTCCGTCTACCCTCAGGATCCACTTGATGAGCCAGCCGCAGAGCCTTTTGATTCTCGATGTCGTCTACGAGAAATTCAGGATTGTATGCCAGTCAAAAGCAAACTCTCTAACCTGTCATCGGGAGTGCCACCAAGATTAGGCAGTGTCCACGAATATGAGAGACGACCATCTCCTCAACCAACTGGACGATATGAGGTTCTGCGTTTTGAATAATTCCTAAGAATATGAATAAGTTGAGGGAGGGACGAAATAAGCAAGGCCATACCTGGCAAATCAAGAAAGTACAAATCCGTCAGATCAGGCCCTGGTAATGCGATTAGAGAGGAACGGTAAGCTATGAAGATAATCGTACCTTCTAAATCGACACAAACAACATTGCGCGAGAAAAGAAGCGGTTCGTGGTTTGGAATTCCCTTCCTGAGTTGCTCCTCGTCCATCTCCAATATCTCCGCAAACCCGACGCCAGGATTGAGAACTGCAAGCTGAGCGCGCCTCAGTGCGACCTCAACCTTGTTCTTATCGGTGATCATTTCGCCGAATCGCTGTTCGCTAACATCTTGGAGCTGCCGACCAGCGTTGTCAAATTCAAGTCTAATGGAGATGCGGCAAGACCAGGCGCTATTCGAGCTTGACAATCTGCATTCCATCGGGCAGCGCGTGCAAGTGCCTAAACAAATTAGAAGAGGACAGAGAGGACAGAGGACGCGAGTGGCACCTGCATCCCGAGGTACTTTGATCTGCAAAATGATTAGTACTGAGCGCTGAAATCGTCAAAGAAACATGCCCCAGAAATAGCTTCAACGACAGAGGATTTTCCTGTTGATCATTAGGATATCTGGATATGTTTATGCTTTATGCGACGTTACCTGCGCTCTGGTTGCCGATGACGGTAATTCGGGGCAAGTCGAGTTCACCTTGAGCTCCCACCGACCGAAGCTGGCTCATGAGAGCGAGGAGTTCTTTGCGCTGAACCGCATACTGGCTTTCCGAAAGTTGGGGAGCATCTGGGGTGGCCATGGCTCGCGACAAGAGTGAAAGAAGAGAGGACCACAATATCTGCAAACATACGGACGCGGTCACGTGATTTGTGACTCTTCTTAAAGTTTTCGCCCCTAGATGGTACATTGGTACATCTCCGCAAGAGTTTAATTAGTACTTACGCTCTCTTTTCATACGCTCTCTATGAAACTCTCCTTAGTATCGCATTATCTCCGGCCAGCCGGCTGTGTATTTGTGCATCGCCTCAGCCTAAGCCCTTAACCTTACCGTGTAAAATAATATTATGTTTCTGAGTTCAGTGAACTCAACGACGCAATACTCTTTTGGTAATAGAACAGCCCCAGCTACGCGTCTGCCTAATTCTTCCCGAGATCACCATCGCATCCTCGGCAGACTTTGAGCGCCAACTCGCAGTGACTCGAGCTGCCCCATAGCGGGGTACGGGCTATGAGCACACATCCTAATGTGCACTCTAGGCCTCTCCGAGCTGGCCGCTCGGTTCCTTCGTCCCCGAATTTGCGAGCCGTTCATCTCATTTAACCCCAAAGAAATCTTCCCCGGGCAAGGTTAAGAGACGACGACGGTACGACTTTAAGCCAACTCAACTCGAACTCAACTCCCCAGAAATAAAGGCTACTCGATCAATGAATCCCTATGCGCAAGGAGGCTGGTCCAACCCACTAAATCCCAATGCGGTCAATAATCCAACCGGGACAAGCACTTCTGTGTATGGGGCACTCCCATATTTCAGCCAATCCGCCTACACCCGCCTTCCTCTCTTTCATCTTCGCCTCGACGGATGGGACAGTCCTGAATTCTACCATTATTGGCCCACAGTCGCGAAAGTATTTCCAAGTGTCCACCGACTCCACAACCTCTGGCTATTCAGTCGTTCAAAACTCACAGCTGGAGAGTGTCGCCATGATCGAATGGGGAAACAATCCCATCGTTGAGATACGCGAAATTGTAGCAAGACAACAGACCTCACAGTTTCTACCACTATCCCCAGATAAATCGCAAGTCATCTCCATCCTACAGTATTCGTGCCCCGATCTCATCTCACCATTCACAGGTATAGACTAATGAGTGCACGAGGCAGGCGCTTTCGTTGGACGCCAAGTGATAGATACATTGAAGTAAATTCATTTTTAACTACGAAAACTCCCCTTCTCATATGAACTGCCAGTTGTACAGCACAAGCACCGCCAATCCTCGACTCTTTGCCCGAATATCTCAGCGTCAAAGCGGCATCAAACTTGAAATTACGGCAGAAGGAGTCCAAATCGGCCTGCTGGAAGTTTGCGTTGTCTCGGCTCTCCTTCTCATGAGTGGACACAGCATAGACTGATTCCGAATATTTATATTCGCATAACTCTGAATATACTTCGATATAGCGCGTGTGCTTTAGCTTGTATTACCTACCATTCATCCTTATTTTACTCGACCGTAATGAATATAATATTGCAGTTACATGGACGTCTGAACCTCTTAGTTGGATTTCATATATAAAAACATGCCAAAGCCTCTGGCTGCACTACAACTGGAGGAGTTTGACGTTAATGGGCTTGTTGGAATTTATGTTACATGCTGATAACCAGACAATAGAATATGATAATTCTTC